CGATTTCAAGAAGTATCGGAAGCCTACGAGGTAAATTAAATAATTATACGAGCAGAAGAATGTGGTTCCTTTTTTTTTTCAGGAATTGTGATATTTTTCTTTTACGAATTCGATATCCATGAAATTCCGTTCCACAGATTCTTATCTTCTTCAAAGATGCCCAAAGGGGCTTGAAATGGAGGCACTTGCGGAGGGGGGGGAGGGGGAGGAGGGGAAGGGGTAGTGCGTAATGAACAGTGCAGCAGCCATGCTAAAGGTCGAGAATTCAATTCCGCTGGTGAGAAATTCGGTTTCTGCAGGATTCTTCCATTCGTCAAGTTAAAAATCGTGTGAATCGGAAGTATGTTTGGTGCTATTCTAAGTCAAGGAGTCGGAACCGCCGTCAAAAACTTGGAACGTTTTCTGTTAGCAACCTTCGCAGGAGCAGATTATCGAAATCCTTACGAAAGAAAGGATTACCGTTGGCGCTAGCTACCACTCGAGCTACTTTCCAGTGCCTCCACTTCTCATAAAATAGAGGGTAAGGTGGGGCAGGGGAAGAGAAAGAAGAAGCAGAGGAAGAGCAAGGGAAAGGGTTTTTGGAAGAAACCTTTTTTGAAATTCTAGTTTCCAAGGTGTTTTTTTCCAGGTGCTTAGTGATGATCGGAAACGTGCCCAGTACGATCAGTTTGGTGCTGATCCATTTCAGCAGCGACATACTGCCGGTGCAACAAGCTATAATGCAGACGGCTGGCAGTACCAATCAACAATTGATCCTGAGGAATTGTTTAGGAAAATGTTTGGTAAGAAAAAAATTGAAAAAAAAAAGATTTAGTTGTTAATGAATGCATGAAAAATTCAAAGTCCCCTTTTGCGTTTCATTTCTGTGGGAAAAAAGATTTTTCGTTTTTTGATTTTTTTTTTTCGAATGAGGACGAGGAGGATTTTTTTCGATTTTTTTTACTCTTCGGGCGAATTTTTTTGGTTTATCAAGATCGCTCAGAGACAGTCATTGTGGGGATCCACTTTCGGATATAAGTATGCTAGGCCGTTCGACCCTGACTGCAGCCTGTACTCAAATTATCCTGATAAACACGGATTTTCTATCGTTTAACACTAGCTGATACACAGTTCTTGCCGGTTTTCAGTAAGGAGGGCTAAAGCTTGCACTTTCTGTCGGATTTTACTTTCTCGCATGGTCGTAACGGTATCCTGTTCGTTGTTCATTTGAAAGAAATTCTGACTGTCTTGGCAGTTTTGGAAAGAGAGGAAAATACTTAAAATTGGTTCAGTTTATATCATTTTTCAGATAACCAATTTCTGGCAAATAAGCTACTTTAGAAAGAGGCTAGGTTCAGCTCCCCTCCCCTTATTGTTCGCCGTAGAAACGAGTGGCAGAGTGACTGTGTGTTCGTCTGGGGAACAATGGGCCGCTGTCCCTGGCAGTGGTAGCTCCCTCCTTCCATTCTCTTAGAAGACCTTTGAGGCCCGTACTGCCTTTTACTTCTTTAGTAATTCGAACTAGTAGCTAGAACTGGGGAGTAGGCGCTGTTTACTTCAGAACTAAATGCGTCGAGAAAATTGTTTGTGAAAATTTCCGCTATTTCTAAGCGTGAGATGTTAGGGGTGCGCGAAAACTGAATTTAAATCTCCGAGGTTTTTCGATATTTACTAAGGTAGAACGTAATTTTCGTCCTTGAAATGACTGGCTGCAAAACCAATAAGGTTTTATTGTTTCAGGCGGTCGGAGTCCTTTTTCGGACTTTAGTAATGCTTTTGGCGACTTTGCGGATTCCTCTGATGGTTTCGAAGATTCAAAGGAGCATGTAATGAATATCACTTTCGAAGAAGCGGCCCGTGGAGCCCAGAAGACTGTCAATTTGAATGTTGTCGACGATTGCCCGGCTTGTTTTGGCAAAGGAGTCCAACCAGGCTACAAAAAGGTTTTCGTTTGTTCCGGGTCGAATTGTTGGCATACCTCCAAAAATTCTGTGCCACACCTTACTGCGTACCTATGAGACTATGGTTTTCTTTAAATACCTCCGAAATCATGCGAAAAGTAGGTCTTATTTCAATATGAACCCCTTCCATTTTTAACCTCCCTTTCTGTGCGTCTGTGATCAAAAATCCTCCGGATATTGACCCGTACCTAACTTTTGAAGGTACAGCAGGGATTTTGTAGGTATCATGCCCGTACTGCAACGGTACTGGCTACGTAACGCAACAGCTTGGCGGATTTTACATGCAATCATCGTGTGGTCGCTGTCGTGGGACAGGTTCATATAACAAAAATCCGTGTTTGAACTGCGAAGGACACGGTCGAACTGTGCAACGGCGTACTGCCACAATCACTGTACCAGCCGGTATAAATGATGGTGAAACTGTTCGAATGCCTATGGGCAAGGTTAGCTTTGTTTTATTTAAACTTCAGCTATTTTATCAATACGTAATGTATCTGATTTTGAGCAAAAATCAAAAGAGTTCTAGTGTAAGGTGGAAGAATCCGCTTGAATATTTAATATGAATTTACAAATGCAGCAGCTGTAGCAACTGCTTGGATGATCGTTTGCTGTCTCACTGATGATTTTTCAGCATGTTTTTATGCGTTTTTTGCATCTAACTTGGGAACCAGAAAAGCTGGAAGGCTAAAATTTTAAGAGGATGGTTCCAGCTCACGTATAACTTGAAGGTTTCAAATTTGTCCCTTAGGTATACGTGATTCGCACGTGCGGCCCCGTGAAAATTTTTAGCGAGGAACTGCTACCTCAGGGACCGGAAAAGCTTGAAAGCTTAAATTTTGAAGTAGCTGTATTTTATGGCGCACTCCACGGCAGCATTCGTTTAGCTAAAAGCATCTGCGGGAAAAACCAGTGACATTAGTGACAAAGACCTGCAGGTATTTATGCAAAAAAAAAACGCATCTTCGCATCAGCAGTAGGTTTGCTGGCATTTTTTTTTTCGCGCCGACATTTATTTATTTATTTATTTTTTGAATGAAAATGTAGAACTTGAAATCAGGGTAGTTTTCTGACTATGTCAATAAATGATTATGTTGAGTTCCCTGGCCCGGGCGCTTCAGTCGACTGGCCGGGACTGCGGCCTGTCACGTCGGGTCGTCGACTTCTCGACAATTACTGGGGGTAGCAACGGGGTCCTCGTCCTTCGTAAGTCGTCTTGGTCGGTGTACTTCACGGGATAGGCACTAGTCGATCGACGCTCCTCGATGGAATTGACACTGGTCCAGATAAAATACACTAGGATACACTACTTCTTACAGTACAGATACGGCGGCCTTATAGAGGCCGCTTTCACGCCAGTGTACGACCTACTTAAGAGGGAGTCACGATGCAACAATTATTTTCTATTAAAGATTATTATTTAAAATTGTTAGGATGAGAATACAATCACATTTGATAAGAATTTTTTTCAGTCGACGATATTCATCACGTTCAGGGTGGCACCGTCATCACGTTTTCGACGCGATAAATTTGATATTCACTGCGACGTAGAAATATCTGTAGCACAGGCGATCCTTGGCGGCACTGTCAAAGTATTTTTTTTTCTACTTTTCTATTTTTTAGCTTTTTTTCTACCAGTTGTTTGGGAAAATTAGTGCTATCTGTCACGCTTGTTAGAAGTTAAAGCTATCCGTATTCGCTGTGAGACATAAGGAGGCAATGGGGGACTTAGAGGGTAGCATATTGCCAATAGCAGCCACACGGTGGTAAGATTTTCGATGGCTCTCTGTTTCGGGAAAGAAGATTTTGGCAGTTTTATTCCCGGGCATATGTCAAGCAGTTCTATGAAATGGATGGACAAAACGTAGAGGGGTTTGGATGTCTCATGGGAGTCGAACCTTCAGTGCGCAACACGACTTGGCACTGTGCCATTTTCGATATTTTTATGCGTTTACTGTGCCTGGAAACCAGTTGATTTAGGTGCCTGGAATTGAAGAAGACACATATATACGCATACCACCAGGTACTGGATCACATACACAAATGCGTATGACGGGTAAAGGAATTAAGAAGTTAAATTATTCGGGCTATGGAGATCAGTATATCAACATCAAAGTGAAAGTACCAAAGTAAGTCTTCTGTCTGTTCAGCAGTATAGAAATTGGTCTTTTTTTATACTGCTGTTGATTTAGTAAAATTCATTTAATAAAAGATGTACGGGCTTTTTTGTCAAATTATGCCCTGGACCTCCAACTTACTGTGTGTCGAGAACAGAGGCCGCAGCCAAAAGGCAATATTATTGTTCTTCTGTCTGACTTCTCTCATGTCTCGGCTTCACGGATACTTGTGTATTATCTGAGATTTAGTTTTATTGGCAGTGGACACAGTTTTAAATAGTAATATCGATAGTAGGGAGGGGAGTACTGCCCGGCGCTATGCCCCCTGGGGTTGGAGGAAATTTTGAATAGCGGGATCTGTCCGAGAATCTGGGTTTTTATAGAGATAAATTGAAGTTGGGTTACCTGTGGCAACTTGCTAACCCGTAGTTTTACTCTCCATTTTTATAAATGGTAACTTTTTCACTTGCTTAATTGATGTTGCGCCGCCTGACAGTCATCTTGCTGACGATCCCAACGTTCGTATATTGTTTCGTGAAAAAGATTGTTAGCTTAACGGTTTACCTGGCAAAAGCGCTTGACAAGACTAGCGGTTCTGAGATGTCCTTGATCTGTATTAAGCATTACTACCTTGTTTAGATAACGAGGAGGTACTTTGTTGATTATATGCAAGAAGTAGTGTTCTGTGAAACCCACTTTTTTTGACAGTTAGGCATTTCACAGTTCACAAACATTCATTTCCTAGCACTTATATTGTTGTAATTTTTTCCAGCAAATTGCAGAATTAATATTAAAAAAGTGTTTTTTGAGTCTTTCCTGTTAAAGTTCACGATTATATTGTCTCAAAGTGAGTGTATTTTAGCTTTTAAGATAAAATAGATTTTGCGTTGATATTTAAGTCCTCCCTTTTTCAGACGTTTGACCACCAGGCAAAAAGCACTAATACAGGCATGGGCCGAACTAGAAACCGATACTCCAGGCACAATACAAGGAATTAGTAGTACTGTTGAAGGTACATTTCTGATTTTTTTCTATGAAAAATCATGTTCGCGTGTGTTTTTAAAAGCTACTGTAAAATTCATTGGGCCGAAACATGCTGTTAGCCTTACTGATAGCCGCTGGACGGTAAATGGTACTCGTAAGAAAGTAAACGGTCATTCGAGGGTCTTTGAAGAGGTGGCAAATGTGCAGGTCGAGCATTCTTTGGATAGTGAACTTGGTCATATGTAAGTTTGAAGAGCCTGGTGTTGCAACACCTGACCAGTAAAAAATCGCCCAGGTTCCTGGTTCCTGCACAAATTATCCGGCCGGTTTTAGTAATCCTGGTATTTTCAACTCGAGAACTAGAAATGCTGGAAGGCTGAAATTTCGGGGGTATGTGCCTACATCTTGTGCGACCCTCCCGTACTAATACCATCATGTACGCACGCCTAGATACCATGCACGGACTCCTTAGAATTGGAGCTATGTTTCCGATTTAGCAAGTTCCGAGATGACTGCCAGGTACTTTATTATGGTATTCGTGGTACTATTCCGGATATCTCTAGATTCAGAGACTGTTGCTTCCATAAATCCCTAATGGGATTAAGAGGTCGGACGAATTTTTCCTTGGAAATAAGAAATGGATAAAACGAACGCTAGAACCATCTGCTGGATAATCCGGTTGGTAGATGCGCCTAGAATGAGCTGGTGGCTGATCAATTTATCGATATGTTGGGAAGAGGTGCTTCTCCGTCTTGACTTCTTTTAGATGATGAAAGGAGAAAAGCAGAGGGGTCGACAGTAGTGGATGATGATGATGATGATGGAAGAGAAAGAAGTCAAGACGGGGAAGAGAAAGGGAATAACGAGGAAACAATTTTGGGGCGATTGAAAAAAGCACTTTTCGGATAGTTACACCAAAAGGTATGCCACAGCACCTACTGTTGATAAACGGGGAAAAAAATTTCCTTATAAAAACCATAGACAAGCAACAATTCCTGCAAATTTTTTACAAATTTACAAAGCGGTCTCTTCTAGAATGAGTAGCAAGATTTGAAGAATACTGAAAGATTTTAGGTGTAGTTGTCGAATAATTCGGCGCCTCTTCTTGCTGCCTAGTTTGAAACAGAAAGCGCTTGATTGAAGAATTCCCCCTCACAGTTCTAAAAGAGAAAAAACTGTTTTGATTCCGGAATATCCAGTTCCGGAATATCCAGTCGTGTATTTTTAATAACATAAAGCAAAAAATACCTATTTTGACCAAATCTTCCCTACTTTTCAGCCGTACAGTCAAATTTGCATAAATGTCGGGACACGTTTTTTGTAATTTGGTGAGCTGTACGGACAATTTCAGGGCGAAAACAGGCCGATGATGAGACTGGCTATGCTGCTAAAATCAGAGAAATTTTACGGGATCATCATCAGTCTGATTCGAAGGGGACTCGGCCATCATCGTCAGGTACAGATGATCCAGATGATGACAATGATTTATTGAAAAAGAAGAAAGGATCTATTTTGTAATGGTACTGGTAGTCTCAATGTTTTTTTATCTTCATGTTAAACATTTTTACCTTGCGTACCTGAAGAGCATATCTGGATTTTGCACCCTATTCGGAGAATGGTGGTTTTTGGAAGTAGTTGTCGGAATCGTCAAAATTCCCCTTTCGGGCATAAAAAAGCAATAAATTTGCTGTTTCGCGATCTTGTTATGTTAGCGTTCCGAATATGCATAGTAGTATTTGTCGGATTGTTCGTAAAAGATGTGTTTGAATTGTCGTTCGTTGATGTTCCACTTATTTGTGATTGCGAACTGACAATAGCATACCAAATAAATGTGTAATTGTTCGATTGTGAATGACAACAACAATAAACCACTGTTGTGGCATCATTACAGTTACATTGGAACTGCTAATGTCACAGCTTTTCCAGTTGCTTTGACAAATACTACACTGCCTGGTACTGGCAGAAAGCTGAAATTTTAAAGGAATGTTCCATACTCATGTACGACCAAAAGATTTTAAATTCAGCTCCTTAGTTTAGAATCGTTCGGCCCTCATGCAGGGGGACATGGGAGTTTTGGTGGGGAAATTGCTAACTCAGAGAACGGAAAAGCTGAAATTTTAAGGGAACCTTTCTGCTCATGTGCAACTGAAAAGTTTCAAATTTATCGCCTTGCTTTTTATAGTTATGCAAATTTACATCGTAGCATAATATTGGCGACATTCGCTTCCACTGCAGCAAAAAGCAGTGCTTACAAGATGTGGTCGATGCCCCTCGTGGGGTCTTTTTGCGCACCAGCAAGATTCTGTTTGTCGGTCACTAAAGTCAACAACGACAACTGACACACCACGTAGCTGTACAATTAACTTCCTGAACTTCGATGACCAGAATGTCACAAATTCTAGTTACTGGATATCCAAGTGGTCTTACTGCAGTAGGAAGTAGTGCAAAAACGGATAATCGCATTGGCCCCTCTGATGCGCGTCGCCGATGGTTCAATTTCCTCAACGTGAAAGGTGCAAATATTGCTCAAACATGGTAACCATTTTCTTTTGCATAACAGTATCAGGTTATGTCAATGGTTTTTGACGTAGATAGTTTAGCAGTCCTTTCATTTCAACGTGCGGCATATTCAAAGATGAATTTGAAGCCGGAAGTAAACTGTACTGGAAATATACCATTTTTGGAAGATGTTACGCAGATTTGCTGGTCAACTGCTTTCTTACAAACTTCGAGCAGTTATAATTCACAAACTGCTTTCTTACAAACTTCGAGCAGTTATATAATTCACAGTTTGCTTTTCCATCAGCTAGCTACAGTTCCAATTGTTTTGACCGGTACTGGATTGCCGAGTAAGAGAACTATTTATAGGTCAGCAACATTAGCTGAGAAATTAAGGATCCAGAGGTATGTTTTCGTAGAAAAGCCCAAAATTAGGACTGTATCCATACATCCAAACTTTGGATGTCGTGGTTACGTAAGATGAAACGAGTAGTTATTCAAATTTCTGCAGTGGTAATTTATTATCTATGTACATATTTCACTTTCACATGACAAATATACAGAACAGTGAACTCCATGAAACATTACAATGACATAGGTTGGTATCTCTCAAAAAAATTAGGAAATTCTTCCACTTTTAGTGTCCGGTACTAAAAGTGGTAGATTTTGAAAAGTACATATTAGGTAAAGTAGCGCACAAACATCGAACAGGCGGTGGGTACCAACTGGATGTGTGCAACCTTGAGGGAGCATTCCAGCGACATCACTAACTTGAGATATCTGCACTGACTTTCCGAGCGATCTTGGTATTCTTGAAGAGACTTGATGAGCACTGTTAGCATAGGCGGTTCCTGGGCAGGCCCTTGGAGAGAAGGCGGTGGGGGTGAGAAGGGAAAGCCCTCTTCTACCCTGAAACTGTACAAAAACTAGGGATAGAGTTGTAACACTGCTACTTAGAGTTAACCTTAGTTTTAGCTTTAGACACACCCGAACTTTTGCAGCAATGGTGCCTGTGTCACTAGGCGAGGGGTGGAGGAGGAGGTGGAGCGAAGGACCTCTCGCCCCTCTCCCTGGATTCGCCCATGATTGCAAGTAAATGATTTAACTAAAGTATGTCTCAAAACAAACACGATAAGTGTAAAATTCCGCCAAATTTTTAAGTAAGAAACGATTTTGAAAAAAAAAAGAAATCACAGTTATGTGACTGTTTGAATCCGTCATTCAGATTCTACGTTACATTTGCCCCGAAGAATATCCCGCATTTATAACGATCCGCCATCAGTTGAGAACGAAGTTTCGAGTCTATCAGGATGCGAACTGGCTAGACAGTTTGCCAGGGCCGAATTCTGTATTTCGTACAGCGATCTGGTGAGAAACATTCGATCGCGAGCTGCTGTTCCCGACTTTCGCGTCGGCTTCTCGATGCTGCATCCAGATGACAGTGCACTACGTGGTTTTGCATGCAGTGATGGAAGATGGTGCGAGCGTGGCCTGCAAATATCTGTTCCACTTCTACAAAATCCTGCTAAGCAGTCGGCCTTCTGGGAAACCCCGCTGCGTGAGTGACCCTGCCAAAAAGTCCAGCTAACGAGGTGGGCCTTATAGAAAACCTTGAAAAAACCCCCGTGCATGTGGTCTCTTGGAAGCCGAAAAGCTAAGTAAATGGTCCTGCACTGTATGGGTGGTGTTAGAAAAGCATTTAAAGTTTGTCTCTTGCAAAACTTGAACAGAAAACGACCAATTAAACTTCGCCAATCGCTCATTTGACTGATAGCCACTATGTCGAGACTTCGAAAAACACCCGAAAATGCACATTAAAGGGGCAGAAGTCTAATCCCTTCTAGTATTCGTTTTTTGCGAGAAACGAAGGCACTCGGAAGTATTCCAAAGGTGGCAAGTACCAACAGCAACCACTCGCTGGCAAAGCTAACGATGGCCTCCTCATCAGAAAGATACTAAAAGATAAAACTATCAAAAATTCAACGGAAGAACGACATGAACTTACGATGAAGACGTATAGCTGTACCTTTGCGTGACAACATTCGGTCGTCCACCGGGATAAGTCACTGAAACGCTGCGTATCAAACCGCCACGTGGCAAATTTTTACTGTTTGTGCCAAAAAACGATAAAGGCGCTGGCGTCCAGTGTATGGTCGGCTGAGAGTTGAAGCGCAAACGAACAGGCTTCTCTTTTTCCATCGATTCTTCTAAAGCAGCAGATGGAACCTGCAAAATATTCGTGATGATGGCAAAACTAGGCTAGAAGCGCCTTTGCTTGACGCGAAAGTCGTTACTCCAATCAGCTGCTGCTAATTCATAATCTGGTTCACAAACTGCACATTTGACAAAACTTTTCCAGTTGGCTTTCACCAGTGTTGCATCGCTTAGTGGTCAGCTTGCTATTGGTGATCCTGACATTTTTTTGTTTCTTAAATTCTCCTTGCCGAGTTATCTTCTAAATTGCGAAATTTACATGATGAAAAGTGTTGCTGATTAAAACCCAGGTTGAAACGCACCATGCTTGCCGGTGCGATCACGCGTTTTTGCACCAGACTTGAAGTGCTCAGGCCATTAACTACGTGAATGGTTGTTCCTTTACAGCTACCTTTTGCACTCACTAGCGTAAATTATAAATTTTGCAGGAAGTAAGTAAACAATTTCCATTTAACGGTATTTCTTTAAAAGTAGTCTAGCTGATCAGTGAGCAATCTTCCTGCCAAATCTTTCGTGTGCTCGTACATGAGAACCACGTACACCTGAGAGCTAAATATGGAATATTTAAGTTGTACTTGGACAGGAAACATTCCCTCAAAATTTCAGCTTTCTGGCTTTCTTGGTCCCCGAGTTAGTGATTTTCTCGCCAAAACTTCCCACGGCCTTACGTGAGTACCACGCATATCTGGGCGCTGAATTTGGAATTTTTAGCTTACACATGCACGGGGTTTATCCCTGCAAAGTTTCAGCCCCTTACCTTGTCTGGTTGCCGAGACCCCTTTCCCGTTAAAAATTTGCATATTTTTTCAAGGCGTCCTTGCGTGGCACTAAGCGTGCGCGGAAGATGGCATTAAAATGGGAGGATCGCGCATTGTCTGGGCACATATTCCCAAAGTTTCAGCCTTCTAGCTTTTCTGATTCTCGAGTTTGAAAGTGGGTGACAAAAAGTGTGAACATGCAGACAGCCTCTTCCCAAGACACACACACGCAGACAGCCTCTTCCCAATACGCGTTTTCGCAACTTGCATATGTGCAAAAACGCTTAAAAAATGATGTTACCTAATATATAATAAATGTTAATAATGAAGCAATAGATGATGTTCAAAAAACCAGTAAAAGTGGCTTTTTACACTATTATTTTTGAACAATTTAAACCCGGGCTGGAACTTGGAGTGTGGAAATATTTCAGTAACATCACTTAACAGTGGACATTCACACTGGCTCGCTGGGTGATTTTGACATTTCTAGTTAAAGTGAATGCGTCTCACTGTACATTTCTCAAAAGCAGATTATTAAGATGCCTTTTATGCCAGATGTGCGCATAATTTAGTGGGAAGAAACACCCCTGTTCAGCGAACTATCTCCAGTAGCTGCATGAAAGAACAAGAGTTCTGTATCAAGGCACTAGTCAGATTGCTGGTTCTGTGGGTACTCGTTGACGAGAGAGTGTTCTTTGTATTCCTGGGCTACTTTACTTGACCATCCACTCATTGCCACATTCATAGCAAAGTTATGTGGTAGGTGACACCAGTGCGTCAGAAACCTGACGCTAAGGCGGAGCACGCCTAGCGTCTCATAACTGCCTCTGGCAATGAAACCTGCACTGCAGATCCGAGTGGCGACCCCACTACCGGGTCTCAGTCGTGGGGTCATTTGTTCCTGTTTGTTTTTTGAATTTGTGGGTTTATTGTTGGGGACGGTTGATGGGTGGGAAGTGGAGGACGGAGGGGCTGTTGGAGAGTGGGGAATGGGGGGGCTGTTGGAGAGTGGGGAATGGGGGGGCTGTTGGAGAGTGG